GCAATCTATACAGAAACTGAAATATAATAACCTACACCTGAAATTTACAGCGTGTTAAAAAGCCAATATGACCTTAATAAATTTTTTTAAAAACCAAAACCTATTTGACAGGAAAATCTTCCCATTCATCAACCTTCATATTTCTTTTCCACTTGTCCTTTTCGCCATTACTGACACTCGGAGGCAGAAAGTTGAAGCAACTCTTCTACACTGTACCAACTTCTCCATCCTTCATCTTTCCTGATCAGGGTAGGACAGGGTTTCTCAATCTTGGCACTGAAGGCAGAAAATTCTTTGCTGTGTGGGACGGTCCTATGCATTGTAGGATGTTTAGCAGCATCCCTGACCTGTATCAGCTAGATGCTATTTGCACCCCCCAGTCGTGATATCCAAAAATGTCTCCAGAAATTGTCAAATGTACCCTGGAGACAAATCACTCCTGGTTGAGAACCTCAGGCCTAGGAAATCCTTCCTGAGGAAATCCTTCCTTCCTCCTTCAGGCCCTCCATCATCTCCCCTGGACTACTGTAATGAAAGTACTTCTCTCTCCTTTTCTATACAAATATCAAATATTGGTGAAGCAGCGCTATGTGCCAGAGCATGTACTGAGCACTGTGCCATTAGAAAACTAGTTACTGCTACTTAAGAGTTTAATTTCATTCACTCATTCTACTAATGCTTATTGAGTGCCTACTTTGTGCCAGGGAGTATTCTAGACCCTGGAGATATACCAGTGAAGAAAGAAAATAAAAATCCCAGGCCACGAAGTAGGCACTCCTCGTGGTGCAGTAAAAAGTGTTTGGGGTTTGGAGATAATACAGACCTAAGTTTAAGTCTAACTTTTGTCACCTTCAAGCTGTTTGGACCTAGGCAGTCACTTAGCTTCTTTAAAGCTCAGTTTGCTAGCTAGGAAAAGGGGGTACTATAATGCTCACCTTAGCAGGCTGGCCTAAAGAATAGAGGCAGTGTATGACAGGTGCTTGTATATAGTACCTGCTTACCACACAGCAAATGGTATTGTTAATAATGAACATTTGTTACATTGTGGTGAAAGATCAGAAATGAAAGGGTCTTTTGATATCAAATGGTCCAACGCCCTCATTTTATGGAAGAAAATTTTTTATTAGTGCCCTTGAGTTGATTCCAACTTCTAGCAACACTGCATACAGTAGACAGGAGCCCCACTCATCTTTTTGAGCCATCCTCTCATCTTCTGGTGCTATATCAGACAATGCTCCATTCCTATCCATAGGGTTTTCATGGCCAATTTTTTTTGGAAGTGGGTGGCCAGGTCCTTCTTCCTAGTCTGTCTTAGTCTGGAAGCTCAGCTGAAACCTGTCCACTATGGGTGACCCTGCCGGTATTAGAAATACTGGTGGCATAGTTTTTAGCATCACAGCAACACACAGATGCCACAGTATGACAACTAACTGACAGGTGGTGTGGTTCCCTGACCAGGAAACAAATCCAGCTGTGGCAGGCCAAATCTTAACCACTAGACTACAAGACAGGAGAAAATTCCAATACTTAAAATGGTGACAAAGTTAGAGAGAGAAGATGGGTCTCCAGAAGTGTTGTTCATTTCTTGTTAAATGAGGTAATATGTGCAAAATTATATTGAAACAATAACATTGTGAAGTATTGTAATTATCACTCCCTCCCCTGCTTCCCTGTCACTTGAGTATGCCCAGTAATAGACACTCTAGCAATAATGATAATTAGGTAATTCTCATCAGTTCTAGACCCTAGACATGATTTGTGCATTGCTCATTTAATCAGCAAATATTTATCAAAAGCCTATTATGTGCCAGGAAATGTTCTAAGTATTGGAGACTTGAAGGTGAGCTAGATAGTCCATATCCCTGCCTTCCTGGTGCCTATAACTTAGTAAGAGAGATGGACAGGAAATAATTAAACACAGTAATAGGTGAAATGATTACAGATTGTCGAAGAAGCCAGAAAGAAAATAAACGGATGTTACGATAAAGAATAACAGAGCGACTTACTTGGATGAGGCGGTAAGGGAGGGCCTCTTTGTGGGAGTGACATTGAAACTGAGATCTAAAGGATTAGAAGGAACTAGTGCTGCCAAGAGTAGGGACAGAATGCTCCAGGCAAAGGGAAGAACAGTTGCAAAGGCCCTAAGGCTGGAGTGTGGCATGTTTGACAGAGGGAAAGGAGGCTCCTGTGGCTAGAACATAGAGAGAAAGGCTGGAGAGAAAGACAAGAGGTTACAGGGCTTTGGTGTTGGATTTTATCCCTAAAGGTGTTTGGATTGCATTCCCAGCACAATGGAGTGAGGGGGAGCAGTTTCCTGATCTGACGTACCTTGTAAATCTCCTGAGTTTCTGGGTAGAGAGGGTCATTGGCCGTAAAGGGAGCTCAAGGAGTGGTGGAGGCCCTGACTCCATGGGACCAAAGCACGTACCAGCCAGGCTGGCTTGGATCCACGCTCCTTGATTTTGGCTGTCACTATGGATAAGAGCAGGATTACATTTGACAGTTCTCACAGATGCAATTTTTATTTAGCCTTTCCAGAGCCCATTTAGGTTGGCATTTGAGTAATGAATACCAGGAGTGTTCTGCTCAATATAGGGAGGCAGGTTGGAGACCTTTCTAAAATGCAAATCAGATTGTGTCTCTCCCTTGCTTAAAACCCTTCATTAAATGCTGGATAAAGGACACGTTGCCTGGCATGGAATTCAAGGCCCTTCAACACATGGCCCTGTCTCCCATTCCTCCTCTTATCTGCTGCCACTTCCCCTAACCCTGAACTCCTATGACTCCTGAACACATTACGTGGGTTCCACGCCTCAATTTCTCTTCTCTTTCCTCCTCTTCCTTGCCTTTTTGGACTCATGCAACATAGGGTGAGCAACTCATGCCAGGACTTCTCCAGTTGTGGCCCTGCAAGTCCCAATTTGGGAAGTCCTTCAGTCTTTGGCACAGAGGGCAGTGGATATGATGGTGAATTTTATGTGTCAACTTGACTGGGCCACAGGGTACCCATACATTTGGTCAAATACTCTTCTGATGTGTCTGTGACAGTGTTTTTAGAGGAGATTAACATTTAAATCAGTAGACCGAGTAAGGTAAATTGCCATCCCTAATGTGGGTGGGCTTCGTCCAATCAGCTGAATGCCTTGAGTAGAACAAAGAGGCTGACCTTGCCCCAAGTAAAGGAGATTTCCTCCTGCCTGACTGCCTTTGAACTGGGACATTGGCTTTTGTCCTGCCTTTGGACTCCACTTGAAACACTGACTCTTTTTGGGTCTCTAGTCTACTAGCCTTTGGACTAGAACTACACTATCAGCTCTCCTGGGTCTCTAGCTTGCTGACTCACTCTGCAGATTTTGGGGCTTGCTCACCTCCAGAATTACATGAGCCAATTTCTTACAGTAAATCTCTTTATATGTATACATCGTATTGGTTCTGTTTCTCTGGAGGACACCGACTAATAGAGTTATCACCTATACAAATATTTCCTGTTCCAGGAAGCCCTCTATGACCCCACCAGACTGAGTCAGAGCCTTCTGCTTTGTTCCCAAGTCTCCTTCCTCTCCCTTTACCTCTAGCAAAGTATCTTCTGCCCTGTATTGTTACAGTGGTCCACTCACCTGTGTCAGTTGGGTCTATGAGAACACAACCAAGGCAAGGCTCTGTGAATCTCTGGTGACTCAGCAGCCTTCAGTTGCAGAGGGTCTATGCAGCAGAGGTGATCCAGGGAATAAAGGGGTTTCAACTAGCTGTGGTGTTTTCCCTACACTTCTCTCCCTACCCAGTACCCTTTTTCTCTAAAGAGCCACATCATCCTAATCCACACAGTTGGGCTCCTGCTTCAATTTTACGCCCAATGCTGCAGTTTCTCACTGAAAATGCAAACTGCTTTGATCCCTAGTCCACCTAAAATGAGTCCAGAATCCCTGACAGTCCCCACTAGCCTCATTCCCTCCCTGGGTTAGGGGCTTGATCATGCCCTGTGCTGGCTGTGTTACTCCCATGAGCAGCCACACCACTAGAAGCCTCCACATTATTGCCTGCCTCACTCAGCCTTATCAGAGATTTCTTGCCAGCAGGAAAAGAGAAAAGTAATGGGGTTTTTTTTTTTTTTTTTTGAGGAAGATTCGCCCTGAGCTAACCTCTGCTGCCAATCCTCCTCTTTTTGCTGAGGAAGACTGGCCCTGAGCTCACATCCATGCCCATCTTCCTCTGCTTTATATGTGGGACGCATACCACAGCATGGCGTGCCAAGCAGTACCATGTCTGCACCTGGGATCCGAACCGGCATACTCCGGGCCACCGAAGCGGAAGTGCACTTAACCGCTGCACCACCAGCTGGCCCCAAAAAGTAACCATTTTGAAATAGGTCAGGGTATTCTGTTCTTCTTAACAAGATCTGCCCTTAGGGGAAACTTTTTTACCAGAGCCTAACCTATTGGGTTTTTATCAGAGCCCAACTGACCTGGTGGAAGAGAAATACCCAAACCCAGCCCTCTTTAGACATCCTGTATCACCTAAAGTGGTGAAAAAAAAAAGAAAGGCACTGTGAAGTTCACAGCCCAGGGATACAGGCTCATTAAAAGACTGAGACCTAATCATAGGACTATAGAATGCTTCCCTCCCCCAACACCTTACCACCACGTTACTAAAGGCCTATTCACCACAGTTCTTTTTGTCTGCTACATCATATCTGCCTTTCAACAAATATGACAAGGCATTGCAAAAGGCAAAAACACAATTCAAAGACATAGAACAAACATCAGAACCAGACACAGATATGGCAGAAATGTTGGAAGTATCAGATCATGAATTTAAGCAACAATTATGAATACACTAAGGGCTCTAATGGAAAAGGTAGACAACTGTTGTCTGCAGCCGCAAAGGGCAAGGAATGACAGGTACCGCCAAGGCTAATTGATTGTTTAAGCAATCAAAGTTTATTGATAAAGGGAGACAGAAAGAGGAGCAAGGATAAAGGCAAACAACAAATCCGTACTTACAACATCCACAGCACAATCAGCCGGGGAAGTCCCAATAATTTGTAGGGCGTGTGGGAGTACCGATTGTCCAGGTCTGAGGCAAAACATCTTCTCAGCGAGATTTCCAATTGCTCTATGTCTGTGACTCCCTTTTATCCTAAGGTTTCTCTGGGTTCTGACGCAGGGTTTTAGACATTTCGATACTTTGAGTTATTTCTTTGTGTTCCCACAGATGTAGTGTTTCTATCTTTTTTGTTCCCATGGATGGGATGTTTTTAATGTCCTGTCAGGTGCCCGTCTGGGTGGCCAGCCCAGACAAGGAACATGATGCAGGACATATTCTTTGTAACTTTTGCCTTAGAGGCAGGGCTGAAGTGGCCATCTTTGGCCCCGAGCCCAGACACATTCCTTCATGTAGGGCCCAGGCCCAGTGTCCTTGGAAGGCGGGGAGGTCAATGAACTCTGTACAACAACATATGAGAACAAACGGATAATGTAAGCAGAGAGATGGACATTGTAAGGAAGAATCAAAAAGAAATTCTAGCAATCAAAACACTATAATGGAAATGAAGAATGCATCTGATGGGCTTATTATTAGAGTGGACATGACTGAGAAAGAATCTCTGAGCTTGAGTAGTGAGCTATGTCAATAGAAACTTCTAAAACTGAGAACCAAAGAGGAAAAAGACTGAGAAAAATAGAACAGAGTATCCCAGAATTATGGGACAACTACAATTCCTACACATGTAATGGAATACCTGAAGGAGAAGAAAGAAAGGAAGGAATGGAGGAAATATTTGAAGCAATAATGACTGAGAATTTCCGCTAAAATTACTGTCAGATAGCAAACCACAGATCCAGGAAGCTCAGAAAACACTAAGCAGAATAAGTGCCCCAAAAACCCTACACCTAGGTACAACATATTCAAACTGCATAAAGTCAAAGATTAAAAAAAAACTTGAAAGAAACCAGAAGTAAAAAAAATTTTTTAAACCTTACCTACTGAGAAGCAAAGATAAGAATTGCATCTGATTTCTCAGATAACATACAAATAAGAAGAAAGTGGAGTGAAATATGTAAAACCTTGAGAGGAAAAAACCCACCAACCTAGAATTCTGTATGCTGCAAAATTAACCTTCAAAAGTGAAGAACAAATAAAAGACTTTGTCAGACAAAAATTGGGGGAATCTTTTGCCAGTATATCTGCCCTGCAAGAAATGTTAAAAGAAGTTCTTCAGAGAGAGGGAAAATCCTATAGATCAGAAACTGAGATCTACATAAAGAAAGAAAATAAAACATAAAAAAAGAAATATAACTGCTATGCTAAGAAACAAGAAAAAATGGAATCATATAAAATGCTCAATTAAAACCACAAAAAGCAAGGGAAAAAGTAGCAAACAAAAGTAGGAAAAAAGAATGAGGCAAAAAATAGAAAACAGTAAATACATTAGATATTAATCCAACCATATCAATAATCACTTTAAATGTTAACAGTCTAAATACACCAATTAAAAGGCTGAGATTGTTATAGTGTATCAAAAATCAATATCCAACTATATGTCATCTACAAGAAACCACATTAAATATAAAGACACATATAGATTAAAAGTAAAGGGATAGGGAAAGATATATCATGTTTTTAAAATTTTAGACAGAATAGATATCAGAGCAAGGAAAGTTATCATGGATAAAGGATAAAGTTATCATTACAGAATGATAAAAGGGTCAATCCTCCAAGAAGACAACAATCCTTAAAGTGTGTGCACCTAAAAAGAGAAAGTCAGAATACATAAGGCAAAAACTGATAAAATTGCAAGGAGAAATAGATAAATCCACTATTATAGTTGGAGACTTCAACACCCCTTTGTCAGAAATGGACACATACAGTAGGCAGAAAATCAGTAATAGACATAGTTGAACTCACTAGCACCATCAATCAACTGGATATAATTGACATCTATTTACTACTTCATCTGACAACAGCAGACTACACATTCTTCTCAAGCTCACATGAACATTCACCAAGATAGACAATGTTCTGGGCCATAAAATACACTTTAACAAATTTAAAATGGTAGAAATCATACAATGTCTGCTTTTAGATCACAACGGAAATAAACTAGAAATCAATAACAGAAAGACAGTTGGAAAATCACAAAACATACAAAAAAATCTCAAGAGAAATTTTAAAATGTTTCAAACTAAGTAAAAATGAAAAGAGGGAAATTTATAGCATTGATTGTATATATTAAAAAAGAAGAAAGATCTAAAATCAATAATCCAAGCTTCCACCTTAGGAAACTAGGAGAAAAAAGAGCAAATTAAATCCAAAGTAAGCAGAAGAAAAGAAATTATAAAAATTAGAGAAAAAATCAATGAAATTGAAAACAGGAAATCAACAAAAGGCTGATTCTTTGAAAAGATGAATAAAATCAATAAGACTCTAGCCAGGCTAACTAAGAAAAAAAAAGAGAGAAGACACAAATTGCTAGTATCAGAAGTGAAAGAAGAGACATCACTACAGATCCACAGCCATTAAAAGTATAATAAAGAAATACTATAAATAACTCTAAGCCCACAAATTGATAACCTAGATGAAATGAGCCAATTCTTTGAAATACTCAATCTGCCAAAACTCACACAAGAAGAAATAAACATTCTAAATAGGCCCATATCTATTAAAGAAATTGAATCAATAATTACTAACCTTCCAAAACAGACAGCACCAAGCTCAGATGGGTTCACTGGTGAATTCTAGCAAACATTTTAGGAAGAAATTATACCAATTCTCTACAATCTCTTCCAGAAGATAGAAGCAGAAGGACTACTTCCTAACTCATTCTATGAGGCCAGCATTATCCTAATATCAAAACCAGACAAAGACATTACAAGAAAATAAAACTACAGAACAACATCTCTAACGAATGTTGATGCAAGAATTCTCAACAAAATATTAGCAAATCAAATCCAACAAGGTACAAAAAGAATTATACTTCACAACCAAGTGGGATTTATCCCGAGTATGCAAGGCTTATTCAACATTCAAAAATCTATTAATGTAACTCATCACAAAAACAGGCTAAACAAGAAAAATCACATGATTATATCAATAGATACAGAAAAAGTATTTGACAAAATTCAATATTCACTCATGATAACAACTCTCAGCAAAATAGGAATAGAGGGGACCCTTCTCAATTTGACACCTTCAAAAAACCCCCAGCTAACATCATATACTTAATGGTGAGAAGCTCAAAGTTTTCCCTCTAAGATCAAGAACAAGGCAAGGGTGTTCCCTCTCACCACTCCTTTTCAACATCATACCGAAATTCCTAGCTACTGCAGTAAGACAAGAAAAGGAAATAAAAGGTATACAAATTGGAAAGGAAGAAATAAAATTATCTTTGTTAACTGATGGCATGATTGTCTATGTAGAAAATTCAAAAGAAATGACAAAAAAAAACCTCCTGGAGGGGCTGGCCTGGTGGTGTAGTGGTTAAGTTCACGTGCTGCACTTCAGCAGCCTGGGGTGCATGGGTTCAGACCCCAGGTGCGGGCCTATGCACACTCATCAAGCCATGCTGAGGCAGCATCCCACATAGCACAACCAGAAGGACCTACAACTAGAATATACAAGTATTACTGGGGGGCTTTGGGAAGGGGGAGGAGGGAGAGAAGGAGGAGGAGAAGAAGGAGAAGGAGAAGGGGAAGGGGGAGGGGGAGGAGAAGGAGGAGAAGAAGAAGAAGAAGAAGAAGAAGAAGAAGAAGAAGAAGAAGATTGGCAACAGATATTAGCTCAGGTGCCAATCATTAGGAAAAACAACAGTATCATTTACATTAGCACCAAAAAAGTGAAATACTTAGGTATAAATCTAACAAAATACATATAAGATCTATATGAGGAAAATTACAAAACTCTGATGAAAGAAATCGAAAAAGAACTAAATGAATAGAGAGATATTTCATGTTCATGGATAGGATGATTCAATATTGTTAAGATGTCAGTTCTTGGCAATTTTATCTATAGATTCAACACAATCCAAATCAAAATCACAGGAAGTTATTCTGTGGAAATAGACAAGCTGATTCTAAAGTTTATTTTGAGAAGCAAAAGATCCAGAATAGCCAACTCAGTGATGAAGGAGAAGAGCAATGTTAGAGGACTGACACTACTCAACTTCAACTTACTATAAAGCAACAGTAGTCAAGACAGTGTGGTACTGATGAAAGAACAGACACATGGATTAACGGAACTGAATAGAGTGCCCAGAAACAGACCTACATAAATACAGTCAACTGATCTTTGATGAAGGAGCAAAGGCAATACAATGGAGAAAAGAGTCTTTTCAACAAATGGTGCTGACAAAACTGGACATCCACATGCAAAAAGATTAATCTAGACACAGACCTTACATTCTTCACAAAAATTAACTCAAAATCAGTCAGACCTAAATGTAAAACACAAAACTATAAAACTGGTAGAAGATAAAGTAAGAGAAAATCTAGATGACCTTGGTTATGGGGATGACTTTTTAGATAAAACACCAAAGGCATGATCAATGAAAGAAATAATTGATAAGCTGGATTTCATTAAAATTTAAACCTTCTGCTCTGTGAAGGACAATGTTAAGAGAAAGAGAAGACAAGCCACAAACAGGGATTTAAAACTCAACAAAGGAACATGAAGAACCTAATTTAAAAAATGGGAAAAGGCCTGAAGAGACACTTCACCAAAGAAGATATACAGATGGCAAATAAATACATGAAAAGATGCTTAGCTCCTATGTCATTAGGAAATTGCAAATTAAAACAACCATGAAATACCTCTACACACCTATTGGAATGGCCAAAATCCAAAACACTGACAACACCAAATGCTGACAAGGCTGTGGAGCAACAGAAACTCTTCTGCACTGTTGGTGGGAATGCAAAGTGGTGCAGCCACTTTGGAAAACAGTTTGTCAGTTTCTCATAAAATTGAATATACTCACCTTACAATCCAGAATTGCACTCTTTGGTATCTACCCAAAAATATACCGAAAAAATACCTAAAATACTTTTGCTATTTACTCAAAAGAGTTGAAAACTTATGTCCATACAAAAACCTACACACGAATGTTTATAGCAGCTTTATTCATGATTGCCAAAACTTGTGAATGGATAAATAAACTGTAGTACAGACAATCTAATATTATTCAGCACTAAAAAGAAATAAGCTATCAAAC